GTAGAGGTGATGTCTTGCTACATAGCCCAGGCTGGTCTTGAACTCCTGGGCCCAAGCAACCCTCCCCGCTTAGTCTCCCAAAGTGCTGAGATTATAGGGTGGGCCACTGCACCTGGCATATGCTTTCCTTGCTCACCAGATGATCTAATCCACTTGTGTGGCTTTTGTGGTACCCTTTGCTCATTAATCCAAAATCTTTAGCTTAAAACTCTCAAACTCTGGATCTATATACCCCAAAACCTACTTAGATGCCTTACGGAGATATCTGAATTATTATGTCTAAATAGTTCTTCTGAGGAAGGAGACCCAGGCATTTGAGATCAACTTCCCCTTTGACTATCACACTGCATTTTCTTTTTTTTTTTTTTGAGACGGAGTTTCGCCCTTGTTACCCAGACTGGAGTGCAATGGCGCGATCTCGGCTCATCGCAACCTCTGCCTCCTGGGTTCAGGCAATTCTCCTGCCTCAGCCTCCCGAGTAGCTGCGATTACAGGCACGCGCCACCATGCCCAGCTAATTTTTTGTAGTTTTAGTAGAGACTGGGTTTCACCATGTTGACCAGGATGGTCTTGATCTGTTGACCTCGTGATCCACCCGCCTCGGCCTCCCAAAGTGCTGGGATTACAGGCATGAGCCACCACGCCCAGCCACACTGCATTTTCAATAGAAGAAAAGGCTGACCGACTGGCTCCTCCTGTTTCCCCCTCCTGTAGGTGGCAGGCTCCGTCTTGGGGAAACTCCGGAAAACACTGTCTTCACTTAAAACAAGATCAAACCCGAAACCTTTTCACATGTGAGTCCTAAAACTGTAAGCCAGAACCCTTTCATATGTGATTCCTGAAACTGTAAACTGAAACCTTTTCACATGTGAGTCCAAAAAACGGTAAACCAGAACCCTTTCATATATGATTCCTGAAGCTGTAAACCAAAGCCCTTTTCATGTGTGATTTTGAGTCCTAAAACTGTAAACCAGAACCCTTTCATACGTGATTCCTGAAGCTGTAAACCAAAACCATTTTCATATGTGATTTCTAAGACTGTAAACCCAAGATTCTTCCACGTGTAATATCTAAAGTATAAGCCTATATAAAGGCGGAACCTTCCTTTGTTAGACAAGCTGAGATTTGGACAAATTATCGCTCAGGCTCCCCGGCCGAATAAACTTCTTCCTTCTCCATTCGGAGTTCGAGAGATCCATTTCCCTTGGCCACTCCTGCTTCACTTCACTCTGGCCCACCCTCCTGAAATTATTTTACAAACCCACGAGGTGATCTTGACAATTGGCCAGTTCAGAAGATTATCACCTGAGTCCATCTGTTTCCCTCTATGAATGGAGTTCTCTATCTGTAAAGATTGAACTAAACCTAATTTTTAAAGAATCTAAGTATAACAAGAGAAAAATTTTCAAGGTATTTTCTTCGGGTTCCTATATGAAAACCAAACTTACGTAAGTGAGATATGTGGGAGCCTACATCCTCTCTCCATTACTACTGCCTCTACAGTAATTACATTAATTTATTCCCTTATACGTCATTATTTCTCCCCTAGATACCTGCAGTGTCTTCTTGACTAATCTTTCTGCCTCCACTGTATCCCATCTGTTTCTCTCTAATCCATTTATCACATCATCTCCAGAGAGATTTTTTGTTTTTTTTTTTAAGAGATGGGGTTTTCCCCGTGTCTACTAAAAATACAAAAAATTAGCTGGGCATGGTGGCGTGTGCTTGTAATCCCAGCTACTCAGGAGGCTGAGGCAGGAGAAT